GCATCCAAGGATTAGCCATCATGAAATTATAATATAGGTATTTGAGTGGGAATTTGTAACATTTATGCAATTATGGCCTCATTAATTTTATACTTGATCACTAACAGAATGATTTGGGTTCAAGAGCACCAGCTCTAGAGTCACATTGCCTAATTCTAACTCAATGCAACTTAGAGCAGTTCCTCAACTTTTCTGTAGCCAGCTTCTATGATGGATCCAGTAATCTCCACCACTAGTATCCATGCCCTTGTGTAATGCCCTCTCTCAATGCAGTAGCATTGCTCTGTGTGACCAACAGAATACAACAGACATGATGCTTGTATAGCATTGGTCACACTTCTGAGGTGGAGTCCTAAAAGGCACTGCAGCCTCCTACATGGATCCCTTATTCTAAGGAAAGCCTGGTACCCTATGGAGAGGCCACATGCTGGGGAACTGAGGCTGTAGCAATTTACAGCAATGTAAGAGAGCTTGCAAGTGGATCATGTGGCCCCAGTCAAGCTTTCAGATAATACCTTGACTACAACCTCATGAGAGACCTTGTCCAGAGCCACCCAGCTAAGCTGCTGCCAAATTCCTGACACAACTATGACATAACAAATGTTTGTTGTTTTAAGTTTCGGGGTAATTCATTGTGCAGTAATCAATCATTAAAGCAACTTCTCAGTTTCCGAAAATCATCTGTAAAAATGGAGATGATAATAGTATCCTTTTCAAAGGGTTGTTGTAAGGATCAAAGGACAAGTATATTAAAAGCCCTCAGCCCCATACCTGGCACACAATGTTGGCTGTTATTACATCTTTGCAGACCTTCTTTTCCACAAGCAAGGTGATCCCACACGCATTTGCAGTCACATTCCCTGTAGACCTTAGTACTTTGTTAAGCCATAAAATTTCAAGTGTATAGATCCAGCTCTAGTCAGTCCCTTTATATGGCCTTCTCTAACCAGTTGGGCAAAGAGTCTTCCCTTTTTCTCTCTAATCCCTTTTGTGATGAGCAGCAAGCTGTCTAAGAGAGAAAAATCAAAGGCACATGCTATGTATGGCTAGGGAACCAAATGCCAAATGAGCTGGCCTGAAAAGACCACTCAACAATGGTTGACAATAGTGAACTGAGCTAGCTGGAGTCAATGCAAGCTTTCACAGAGCTCACTGTTTAGAAATTGTCCCTGAAATGTACAAAGCTTTCATTCAGGCGTAATTCTGTGCTGGTAAGCCTGGAATGGATCCTGAACTTCCTCAGGCAAACTTCATAGATGTTATCTTTCTTTCTTTGATTATTCCTGTCTCCTTCACATTTGGGTTTTCTTTTATTACTGATGGAGGGGTGAGCAGTCAAATTTCCTATGCACTGCAGAAAGGTACTAGAATTGAGGAAATGTACTGCTAAAGCAGGGCAAAGGAAAAAAGAACAGCTACATTTCTATTCCATAATAAAACTCAATAATAAAATAATTTGATAAATAATAAAATGAAGTTATAAATCCATGTGACAAACATTTTAAGAACTTGGCCTATCATATAATTTAAAGGGGGAAATAAAAAGATCAAAGTACTGAAATGAGAAGGTTCTATTGCTACTAAGCCATATTATTATTATTCAAATTATTCCATTATGAATACATATATGTTTTACTGATGGTTCTTTGGGGAAAAGAATGTATAAATATGTAATATGCCTTTTAGTAGGACATTTTGAAATTTAAAACAAAATACAATTCTTTATTAAACATAAAGGAGGTGAACTTTTAATTTTGCTTAGTGAATGCATAATTTCTGACATCAAGGAGTTTTTATTCTAAAATACAGATGACACTAGTATTAAGTAGGCTTCCCTCCCTCCACCCCCCACTTCATTTCCCTCACCCTTTCTGGGTGTGCCTAGTTCTGCTGAAGTCATCCTTTCATACGGAAACACTTAACCTTCTCTTAAACCAACCTCTCAGGGATGGAAATTGTGTTTGCTAATTTCTTCCTCCTTACTTTTGGCTGTTTAGTTCTTTACTTTCCACCTAATCTAGCACTTTGCTTTGTTTTTCTATCAAGTGTTTCCTTCATTCTTTCCTTTTCTCTCTTTTTTCCTTTCCTTCCCATTTATATTTCCACTCTCCTGCCTCACCTCCTCTCTTCCTTCCAGGTATGTATTTGATTTTAAACCTAGATTGACGACTTGCAGGACTTTTCTTGGGCTCTGGATTCTTTATAATAATGTTATCCCTTCCAGTAGCACTGCTGGAGGAAAGGTATGGCTGATTTAGTGAAAATTCTGTGGCAAGGCAGGCATTGGAACTAGGTGAGCTCCCTTTTCTCCTCAAATATGTAAAGTGTAAATGCCATGTAAGAAATATGAGAAACCCTGGCTGGTGTGGCTCACTTGGTTGAGTGTCACCCCATACACCAAGAGTTTAGTGGCTAAATTCCCAGTCAGAGCACCTGCCTAGGTTGCAGGCTCAATCTCCAGTAGGGGACATGCACGAGGCAGCTGATCGATGTTTCTCTCTCATTAATATTTCCCTCTCTACCTTCATCTCTCTCTAAAATCAATGAAAAAAACATATTCTTAAAAATATATAGGAGGAGACAACTTCAGTGGTGGTATAAATAAAGCACGAAATGAAACCACATCTCCTCCTAGTTTCCCAAGAGTTGTCCTTAGCCACGTTCCCCTTATTCCTTGTGTTCCCAGAGATGAAAGTCTAATCATCTCTCTATCTAGCCTCCCCATTCTGGTCTGTACCACTGGTCTCTTGGGACACTTTCCCTGATTTCCCTCCAGCCTCGCTCCACTTAAACCTACCTTCCCACTGTCATGCCCAAGAGTTCAGGCATGCCCAGAATTCTCCAGCAGTTCTTCCCCTACAGGTTACACCCAAATCTTTTTCCTGCTGCCCACCTTCCTCTCTGGATAGGAGTCCTTTTACAATCCCAGATTAGGAACATGGGATCTTGTATTTCCTTGTTGACTCGAAAGGCATTCACTTTCTTTCCAGAAAACCTTACCTCCAGAACCAGAAGTTAACCATTAAGCCTCCCTGCAGAGGCAGCTCCTGGTGAGAGTTTTTCTCATACTTTTCTAGACGTATCCTTCTAACCCTGGGGGCAGTGTGCTCAAGGCTCACAGACTTGTCCCATTGAGTCTCAGTCAGAGGTGAAGACGTGACTCTCTGGGGAAGCTCCTATCAGAGAGGATGTTCTTGAGATATTTGTTCAAATTTCATTTGCAGAAAAAAAAGTAAGTACCCTTTAAGGGAAATGATAAGGCAGCCCCTCCCCTGGGGCTTCAGGAATGACTCAACAAAACAAAACACCCTTAGTTTACTCCCACCGAATCCCGGAAGACAGTTTCAGGACCTAAGCCGCCAGGGCATTTCACTGCCTATCTCAAGTGGCTTATCAAAGTCGTGTCCTAGGGCAAGTTTTGATAATTACAGTTTAAAAAAAATATATTTTATTGATTTTTCACAGAGAGGAAGAGAGAGGGATAGAGAGTAAGAAACATCAATGAGAGAATCATCAATCAGCCGCCTCTTGTACACCCCCTACTGGGGGTGTGCCCTCAACCAATGTACATGCCCTTGACCGAAATCGAACCTGGGACCTTTCAATCCGCAGGCTGATGCTCTATCCACTGAGCCAAATGGGTTTCGGCCTCAGTGACGTTTTGGTTACTTTGATTTGTTTGCATGTCTGTTTCCCACTAAATTACTATGAACTTATTGAGGTCAGAGATCTTTATATTTATAAAATTTAATCTTTGTCTTTGCAGCAATTAGTACGGTGCCTGAAACATAATATAAAATGTGAATATTTGCTGGTATGGATGACCTCATCCTTTGGCTTTGTGTGTGTGGTTGTTTAAATGTACAAAGTATCATTTTATAAAAAGGGTTAGAGTTCAACAGTTCACAACAGAGTCTAAGGTGAGTGGACCGATGCTTGACATTTAACAGTCTAAAATGGTAGCACCCATTGCTTTAAGTTAGTGAAGTCATTATCAATAGGTCAACACATTCAGTTATATAACCTTGGGCACCTTTGCCCTGGCACTGAAGTTGCTGGGCAAACATGGTTATTGATAGCATATCTATAAACTAATTCTGCACAGAAACCTGGATAACATATCCTCCGTATATAAGCACTATCTACACACATCCTGGCTGACTACACCACCCAGAGTAGATGCTTCAGCTAGCTGCCCAGCATGTGTTAACACTGAAATGAAAATAAATATTTAAAAGGAAAGTTGGGCGGAGGAGACCCAACCTGGTTATTCTTGTGTGCTCACATCAATAGTGCGTATTCCGTTATACGAATGTTTTATATTAAGAGCTAGGACTGGACTGGAGCAGTTGGCCATGCTGAAGGAAATGGAGGTGGCTTTAAATGAAAGAATGCACCAAATCCACCCGAATCTACCCCTCTCTGAATATCATGTAGTACAGCAGCTTCATTACTTCACTCTGAAATACTTCCTTCTATAATGTCTATAAGTGATCATCATGTTCCCACATCCCAACTTTGAGAGAAGCCTACCATTCCTGGAGGGAAACCACCTGGGGCCCTGGGCTCTGTCTTCTCCAAACTGCATGTTGGGGCTTGCTTTCTTGTTCCCCGACACCCATGTGACGTTTGAGATCTTTAAACACTGCCTCCTTTCCTTGGAGGACCACAACAACTTAAAAGTTTAATTTAATAATAATAATAATAATAATAATAATAATAATAAAAATCCCAGCCCGCCCCGCTCCCCTAATTTCAGAAAGTACTCAGAAGTTATAGATAAAACGACTGCAAGTCTCCTGCATCATCAACAGCGGAAGTCCATCTAACTGCCACCCTGGAAACAGCAGCAACAACAACACCTGGGACCCTCAGCTACCACCTGTCTGTCCCAGGGGTCCCAGCTCCCCGACCAAAATCCCCGTCCCCCTTCCGGTGGTTAAACAGAAGCAGATCCCGGTTTCCAACTGTCCTATCTCTCCCCAAAGTGACACACTTACTGCCTTGGCTCAGCAGGACGGCGGGCACGGTGATGATGGTGACGAGCGCCGCAGTCCCCAGCAGTCCCAGCAGCACCTTCCACTGCGTCTGCAAGCGGTCAGACCAGCCCGGTTAGCTCAAGCCCTTCGCCCCGGCCGGGGAGGGGGCCGGGAGGGCCTGGGCTTGCACCCCCCTGGCATCGGGGTTTCCCGGTGGGCGCGCATTGGCGGGGATGGGGTGGGGGGGTTACGGTGACCTGGGAGGGTTTGGAGCGAGCCAGCGGGAGGTAGGAAGAGCGGTCGCCCTTGAACTTGTGGCCTCCGAACACATTACCCTTCGCTTCCACTCCGCCCGCACGTCAGAAGCCCAGGGAGAGCCTGGCGCGCGTTTTGGGGTGGCTCTCCGGCTCCTCCGGGGCTCAGCGCCCCGGGTCCAGCCCGGAACCCCGCCGGAACCCCGCCGGAACCCCGCCGCCCCAGAGCGAGAGCGGAGACCCAGAAAGTCCCTCCACCTGTCAGAGGGCGGCCCCGCGCTGCCGCCTAACGGGAGCCCCGGGTCCGCTCCGAGGGATGGGGGGATCCTCTGGGATCCAGTTCCTACAACTCCCACCCTGGGGCCGGGGGAGCGGGAGGCGCGCTACTCACTCACCTTCATGGTCGGCGGCGGCGGCGGCTCCTGGGAGCGGAGGTCCGGCGGGAGCGGGGAGGCGGCAGGAGTCAGACTCGCCGCCCGGACGCGCGTGCAGCTCCGCCGCGCCCCGCCAGCCGCGCAGTCACTCGGCGCTCCCCGGGTTCGGCCCCGAGTTAAACATTAGCGAGGCCGGCCCGCTGGGTGGAAAGTAGAAAGGCTGCGGGACAGGCTGCGGGGGAAGGCGCCTGCGGACACTGCCGTCCCAGCCTGGGGGGCGCCAGAGAGGCACCTCCCCCGGGCTGTGCGGGGCGCGGGGCGGCGGCCAGGGTGCGCACCGTGCGGGGTCCCGGCGACTCCCGGGGGTCGGGTGCGAGACCCCTATCAGGGGTTATGCAGGCGCCCGGCATCCTTCGGGGCGTCCCAGGCAGCCGACTCCCTGGGCCAAGGTCTGTTTTATGAGAAGAGCCTTGGAGCTGGGCTCCTGCAATCTCGCGTGGATGTGCCCAGCCCAGAGAGGGCATGGGGCTCTGCAAACCCACCCACAAACTTACTGCCTTGGCTCAGCAGAACAGCGGGCACAGTGATGCCACTGAAACCCAGGACTCTCTCCCTCTAGCCAGTGAAAGGTGTGTTGGGGAGGTGTGGGGTGTTTAAGGTTCTGGGTGGCACAGTGAGGGAGAAGGTGATTGTTCACCTATGAATGAAACTTGGAGGCTGAGGATTTGCAGTCTCCCTCCACAGGGAATTTCTGGCTTGTGTTGCAGGCTTACCTTTTCATTAAGATGCCAAAAATAATAGCACTACTCCCCACCCCACCCCCACCACACCCTCCGGGCGTTGCTCTAAGCATTTGCTGTGTTTATTTGACAGGAAGGAAGCCTAAGCTCAGAGAGGGTGAGCCACTTGGCCCCTTCACGCAGCCAGGAAGTCGTGGAGTCTGAATGAAGAGCCATATTCTTAACCACTGGCCGGAGGGCCGCTTAGCTTTCAGTCTTGCAAAGAAGATTTGAAGAAGAGAAAACTGTCAGGTGTGACTCTGCCTTTTCCCAGATCCCCATTAGGCCCCATAGGTTCATGTGTGGGTTTGTTCATCCATCCATCCATCCATCCATCCATCCGTCCGTCCGTCCGTCCATCCATCCATCTCCACATCCTCCCATTTATTCCATCCATTTCACTAACATGTGCATGACTGCGATGCAGCAGACTCTCTTTTAGAAGCCGAAGTGGAAAAGTGGAACAAGACAGAAGAGGTCCGTGCACTTGGCACTTTCAGTATAAAGCACACAGGTACATATCTGTGTGTGGGCCCCTCTTTGCTCATTCTCTTGAGGATGCGCTACTCTTTACCTTCTAAAAGGTCTCTTCAGGTTGCTCACTGCTGTGGAAAAACAAAGCCTCTCTGTCTGTAGTTAAAAATGCCAAATCCTATGGAGCATGAAAACACACAGACACCAGGGGGTGAGGGCATGAATGGGGGTGGCGATGGGGGGCGGCAATGGGGCGATAAGGACACATATGTAATACCTTAATCAATAAAAAGTTAATAAAAACAAAAAATGATTATGAATAAATTCAAATTTACAATAGTTATCTCCATTCCAAACAGCTTCTGCAGTCACAGATCATTTCCCCTCTGGACCACTATGCTTGTGATACATATGTATATACACTCATCCACACCCATCTCCTGAGGCTCACACTGAACTCTGTCTTCTCCAATACCCTCGGCCCACCCTTCCCTGATCACCTCCACCTTCATTAAAAGTGTCTCCCCATCACAGAAACTGAAAACGTTAGTCATCTCAGGTTTCCTCATCTCAGGTTTCCTCTACTTACTTCCTCACCAGTTCCTCACCAATTCTGCGTTTACCAGAATCTCTCAAATCCATCCCCGCCTCTCTCTTCCCGTAAAAGTGTGTCAATAGCCATATTGTTACTGGAGCCTCTGGGCTGGAGCGGTGGAAACAGAACGTCTAACAAAGACGAGAGGGAAGAGTGCCACATTGGGAGCTCAGTGTCACCAGTGTGTACACTCAGCAATGGAGGAAGGAAGCTACAGCTTTGGGGTGGGACATGCATGTGCTGAGCCTATGAGTAACTTCCAGGCCCACACCAGGGAGCCATCCAAGGAACTTATCATCTAGTTCTGCGGAGGCCATGTCTTCACATTTGATGCCCACTTCAAAAAAATTCTTTCACGTATCTCCCTCACTCAAACCGCTGTCACCAGTCTTTCAATCTTGTTTCTTAAAAGTCTCTAGGAAACAGCTGGCCAACACATTAGCCACCATTTATGAGTCAGTGAAATCTTATATTAGGCCATCTCTCTTTCCATACAAAAATGGGAAAAACAGATGTACTACTCAAAGTTCTATTAGGAAAATTTCTCTTTCTATTTCAGGGTATCCGTGAGAAGGGGTTGTGATGACTTAATGACTGGTACCAACTTACTTTGCAATAAGGCCCACTGTTTTCTCTACTCTGTTGCTTGGTTATATGGTACTCCCCATGAGAGCACAGGGATACGTGGAGGGAGAGACACTGAAACAGTGGAAGTGGGTATCATGGATTCCTAATTCTCTGCTCATGTGAACTTCTTGTGTCCCTGGGACACTTGGGTTTATCTCCCATAGCTTATAGATGCCATTTCCACTTAATGGGTTGCTACTGAACCGGCCCAGCTATCATTTGGTGGATCAGGTAACGATCAGATTATTATGGGTAGTTCAGGTTGTTCAGTTACGTGTTATCATGGGTTGAATTGTGTCTCCTCCAAAAAGATATGTTGGACTCCTAATCCCCAGTATTTTAGAAAGTGACCTTTGGAGATTGGATCTTCACGGAGGTAATCAGGCTAAAAGGAAGTCATCAGTGTGGTCTCCAATCCAGTATGACCAGTGTCCTTACTAAAGGGAAATTTGCACACACAGACACACATAGAGAAGAAATGATGAGAAGAAACACAGGGATAAGGCAGTCTTCAACAAATGAAGGAGAGAAGCATGGAACATATCCTTCCCTCACAGGCCTCAGAAGGAACATTGCAACCTTATCAATCTCTTGATGCTGGACTTCCAGCTTCCAGAACAGTGAGACAATACTTTTCTGTTGTTTTAGCCACCCACTTTGTTATGATAGCCCTAACAATATGCTTGGTGTTCCATGACCATGCTTTCAGTCTCTACCAAAACCTTGTAGCTGAAGGGGTGAGGGTGGTTGAGAAAGGTGAAGGTGAATAAAAGGTATAATCTTCCAGTTATTAAAAAAAAAAAAAAGGCCATGGAGATGCAATGTACAGCTCAGGGAATATTGTCAATACTATTGTAATAACTTTCCATGGAGACAGATGGTTACTAAACTTAATGTGTTGATTACACCGTCAGGTATGTAAATGTCGAATCATTATGTTGTACACCTGAAACTAATATAATATTGTGTAACTATGCTTTAATTAAAACATTTTAAAATAAAACACAATTCTGAGGAAGCAGCTCTGGGTGTGTGGGCTAGGCAGAGGGAAAAGAAGGACACAAAAATAAAAAGGAAGAAGTTCATTTTCATACAGTGAAATAGTCATTGATGGTTGTCGCCATCATCCAAGAAGAGCCCCCAAAGATTGGGGTATTTTATTATATATCAATAGATAACGAATACATTTTTTTAAATGGCATAGGGCCCTACCTGGTTTGGATCAGTGGATAGAGCGTCGGCCTTTGGACTCAAGGGTCCCAAGTTCCATTCCGGTCAAGGGCATGCACCTTGGTTGTAAGCACATCCCTAATGCAAGGTATGCAGGAAGCAGCTGATTAATGTTTCTCTCTCATCGATGTTTCTAACTCTCTCTACCTTTCCCTTCCTCTCTGCAAAAATCAATAAAATATATATATTTTAAATGGCCTGGCTTTATTCTAAAAACATTAAGCATATCCTCTCTGATTCTTTTATTGGGATTTACTTGAGGCTCTATAACATATCTCTGGTTGCCACAGACATGTCTGGCAACTATTGTGTCTGCTAGGTGATTAGAATCCCAGTATCAGGGCAGCTTGCACTATAGCTTGGACCTAGGGAGCCCTCTCTTGCTCCAGGCTCCATTCAAAGCAGACAGCCTTATAAGTTACTGACCAAATGGGTTGGAGAGGGCACATCCATTTGTGATATATGGTGTCACCAAAATCCAGAGTTCTGGCAAACATTGTTCCTCTTGTGGTAGGCAGACAGGTGTAGTGAATTGACTTTCATTTAGCAGGATTATGCTGACATGTTCTAAACCAATGGGTGCCTCTTCATGGGATTTATCCTCTACCACGTGTCCACATTTATCTTACTAAAGCATTTAAGGAACTTGCTATGTAAGTACGCCAGGGCGAATTAGCATAATGGCACCAATGTAATGGACCTATGTGATGTTCTATGGCAGTGGTCGACAAACAGTGGCTCACGAGCCACATGCGGCTCTTTGGATGCTTGAATTTTTAGTAAAGGCCAGTTTAGGAATACCCTAATTAAGTTAATAACAATGTACCTACCTATACAGTTTAAGTTTAAAAAATGTGGCTCTCAAAAGAAATTTCAATCATTGTACTGTTGATATTTGGCTCTGTTGACTAATGAGTTTGCCAACCACTGTTATGGTATATCAAGATGATCGAGTTTTCAATAAACTATGAGAGAGAGTTGGCTTAGCCCTGAAGTAAGATGGTAAAAATAAACTGTTGCCTCTTCCAGGTAAAGGCACACTTTTTAAGTTGTTCTTTATTAATTAAACTCAAGGGGGAAAAAAGTGCTCATCAGTTTAGTAGCCTCAGATATCAGGACTGTATTGCTTGACCTCGTAAAGTTACCATACCTGAGATGACAGCTGAGATTGATTCATAATAGTTTCCCATAATCCATTTCACTTTGTACAGGCTGAACAGGAAAGTTCATTGAGTGTGAGATAGGAAACCAACACCCCTGCATATTTCAGAGTTTTAGATTAGTGACACTAACCTCTGTATTTGCCCAGAAATGCAGTATTA